TACTTATGGCCTTTGTTTATTTTTCTGTCCAGGTGAGGCCTTCCTTTCTCAGGTACTTGTCTAGGTGGTTTAAATGCAAGGCACATCTCACAGCTGAATAGTCCTGCGCATAGCACCAGGCTTACTTTACATGCACAAAGGCTGACAGTGCTAATGATGGGTTTTCCTTGGATATTTACAAAGTCACTTGTTGGTTTGTATCTCTGTGGCATTTTCCATTGGAGAGAAATTATTTACATGTTACTGTTTCACATTTACAGTGGTAGGTTTGTTTTTTTCTTTTTGCTCTACTAAGAAAGATATAGTAGATGGTAAAGAAGCTTAGAGGAAGAATGTCATGAAATTCTCCTTTGTTAGAAGACTGTCTCCGTCACCTTTTTTCAGTCTTGTAAAAATGTTTGTATGCTTCAGCATAGGAAATGGAATGTGTCGTTAGGAAGCATTAGGGGAGTTATTTTAAAGGCAGATTTTTAAAGAGCTTTAATCATGAATGTATTATGCATGCTGAAAACCTAAGAGAGAAGGGAGAGTATGGATTTGTGTTGCTGAAATTTTCCTCTTTGCTGTCTTTCATCTTGTTGGCATGATTGAATATTTAAGTGTTCCTGCTGAAACAAATAGGAACTTGGCGTTGTGATGGAAATACCTTAGCAGCCATGGACTACCCCATCTTTTATTTCTCTTACAGCTCTCTGCATTAACTAGTGGTAATGACCTGCTGTTTTGAAATGGCAGAGTGTTTTTCCCCCCTTCACATAGATTGAGGTAGTTATGTCTTACTACAGCCTGTTTTTATTGCCAAATACGTTTTTCGAAAAGTGTTTCTTGGCTCAGTCAAGTTTGTATCCTTGTAAAAATAACATAATGCCAGAAAAAATGTATATGTATACTTGGATAAAATAAGAAAAAGTCACTCTTCTATTGGGCTATGAGTTTGGAATTTCTTCCCAGGTTTATCATGTACTTTGTTTTGAGGAAAGTTTGGACAGGAAGGTGGAAGTGAGTGTAATAGGTTAGAATGTGTCTCAGATTTTCCCCAAGGTTGAACCAGCCTATGAAGGCCTATATACCTATGATAGAATAATATTATAAAACCACAGGAGTGATTAGTGCATGATTAGTAATTCCCGCTGAAATTATAGAACAGCTATTAGAAACTGATCCTTTTATTTATTTATTTTAATTTTCTTTATTGATTAAGGTATCACATATTTGTCCTCAACCCCTCTTTCCAATCCCTCCCACTCATGCCCCCACCCCCTTATTGTCCTCGACCACTGGTTAGGCTCATATGTATGCACATAAAGAAATTAACTCTTTGCTTTGCCTTAAGGAAACTAAAAATCAGATTATTTAAGTGATATGTTTTTCTTCACACAGCTAGTTAGCAGCTGAGCTGGAAGTAGTGCTTGGGTTTCTTGCCTCCAAATCCAGAACTCTCTTCAATATGTCTTTCATACAGATATGATGAATTTCCATTACAGACAACTCAGAATTTTTGTGATGAATAATGGCTAAGCAATTATCACTAGCTTCTCCAACCTGATGGGTTGAAAGCATAATTAGGAGTTTAAGAATATAAATTTTTCATAAATTTCTACTAAATGATCTTTGAAACAGCCTTTGGAGAAAAGGAATAGATAGTTCAATTGTGATTCTCCTGATTGGAGGGAAGTGTTGAATATCCACACACTGGGTATGGTAAATTGATACAGAATGAATAATGAACTGTTCTGCATTTTAAATGTTCAATTCTATAGTTTATATCCTGGATTTCCCACTCTGTCTCCCACAAATATCAGATGAAGAGGCATCCTTTAGGATATGTAGAGTGTTCTAAACAAAATGGTTGAGGGGGGGTGGAATATTGATTCTACAATCCCTCCAGTGTTGCTAGATTAACCAATCCCCTTGCTTTAAGTTTGCTCTGGGAATAAGTGGAAGTCTTAGTAGATAAATAGAAGTAGGAAACCCAAAGGCATAAAAATTATTGAAAAAATAGCCAGATACTATTTCAAAGGAAACAGATAGAAATATGGTTCAGAAGCTTACTCCCACCGGACATTGCTCAGTCATCTGCTTTGGCTCTTTGAAATGCTTGCTGTCATTGTAATTTATAAACTTGTGCTTTTTGCACTGTTAGGAATGTAAGCTTTAGAACATCATCTTATTAGTAAGGCTTTCTGTCTCTAGAGAGTACATAATCACTATTGAAATTCATATATAACATAAGATCCTATAATCTTTTTCTATAATATTTAATGCCAATTTTAATAAAAATATTTCTGGAGAGAATAAAATTAAATATCATATAATACATTAATGGCAATTATGATTATGTTGCTGCTACTACTTCTACTACTAGGATAAAGAGGTGGGGGAAAAGGAAGAAACGCTTGTATAATGCATTATGCTGAGCTCTTTACAAAAATGCCAATGTAATCCTTATAACAAAGTTATCATCATCTCCATTTTACAAAGAAAGTTTTGTATAGCTAAGTCTCTTGCCCACAGTTATGCAGCTAGCAGATAGCTCAAATTTCTGAGTTCACACTTTTAACCATTATGGCATATATTGGTTTATTATGCAGTCCTGGGATAGGCTGTGGAAACATCTGCCTTCTGTTTCAAATCATTATGTGCATTCCTTGGTTTAGTTCAAGGAAAAAATTAGAATGTTATATATAGGTTTTGTATTAAGCTACCTCAATTTGTTCATGCATAAATTTTTAAACAATTCTCAAAGAAGAAACAGGTATGTTTAATTGTTATTAATGATAACAATCATTATCATTAAATAGGGGGATAAACTCTACAGATCTCTTAGAAAAATAATTATGGGTAATGCCAATGAAAGTTCTTGTTAATAAACTTTTACTATCAGGTACTGAAAACTTGTACAGAGCTATGTCATATCATAACTTATGAAAGTTTGTATGTCATTTTCAACTGGAAAATGGTATAATGAATTATTTATAACATTCCAGAATTGAAGCTAATATAGTTTTTCACTAAAAAGATTATACTGTCATCTACATACACATCTTTTTTTGTGATGAATGATTAAGTTTAAATATTAATTTTAAATACTTGACTCAATGTTATGATTTAGTGATTTCAAAAAATGCCAAGAAGAATTTTATATTTTAATATGAAATCTTAATATGCTATTTAACAAGTAAATAACTGTTTATGTACATAATCTTTATTTTATTACATTATAACACCAGCTACATATGTGCAACAGAATTTTCTATTTTAGTTTTCTCAAAAGCATAATTAATTATCTAGTGATATAATTGTTACTTAACTTAGTCATTATTTTATTAGCACTTGGTAAATTCCTTTTACTAACTTTCCTCTTCTCTGACACCTATAACAATAATGTAGTGACATGTAGAAGGAATTTTGAAAGACAGTATAGGTATTCAAATTAAAGTTAAAAATAAGTTTCAGAAAACAACATGACTATATAAAGAAAACCAATTGTCATGTGACTACTATTTGTTAGTTAGTCTTAGAAGTTATAGCAGTACATCATAGCTATGGGGTAATTTGCTACCTATTTTCCAAGAAGGCTAAAGGGAAAAATATCCATTATTTGTGACAGTCTTTCCATGGTAGGATGGCATCATTTATTCTGTATATTTTCTTGTCCAGAGAAAGAAATTAGAGAATCTTAAAAGATGGTGGTGGTTCATTTTGTTTTTAGCTTTCATTATTATTATCAACCATAAAATGTTCATGTTTAAGACAATAATGATGATAGAATCTTAATAATAAAATTACCATCATCACTAAATAGAGAAGAGTTAGTTGTTCAGTGACCAATATTTGAAAAAGACAGAAACCTGGGTCTTCATTTTTGCTGCTTTGTTACCTTGGGCGAGTCTTTCCATCTTTTCGAGTCTCAGGATTTTTATCTGAAAAAAATAAAAAGTTGTACTAACCAATCTCTATGATTAAATTCTGCTCTGCATGTTTCTTAACTTTCTTATGTTTGCTGGCAGAGAATATTCTTTACCTGATCTCTTAGAGAGAAAAATGATGCAAAATCAAATTTTGTAGACAATGGCCCAGTCATAGAGGAAGACAGGTATGGGTGTTGTCTTTTTCCTTTTATTCTGCTATGTTTTCTGTAATAGATGCACACAACATCCTATATAGCTGGTTTAGAGGGGCTGTGGCTTACGCTGTTGCAGAGATGTGGAGGCTGCCAAGCAGGGCCCTGACCCATGATGCTGAGGCCACTCCTGCCAGCTTGGAGGGGCTTTCACCTTCGTGGAGTCAGTTTTGACAATCCATGTACTTACCTTGCAAATTCATGGCTCATTTTCTTTTGAAATTAAAAACAACACCAACATTAACATGCGTTTCTGTGGCTTAAGCAGATTTGTTTAATTAAAACCATTGAAGTAGATAGCAATGTTAGTGGTTTTCAGAAACAGACATGTATGGGCATAGCCCTCCCTTATCCACAGGGGGATGCATTTCAAGATCCCCCGTGGATGTCTGAAACTGTGGATAGTACCATTCCCTATGTATGCTGTTCTCCTGTTTTTTCCTCTACTGGTACATACATAGCTATGATAAAGCTTAACTTATAAAGTGGACACAGTAAGAGATGAATAACACTGATAGTGTTATTCAATTATAACAATATATTGTAGTAAAAATTATGTGAATGCAGTCTCTCTCTTTCAAAATACCTTATTATACGGTATGCACTGCATGGAGAGGCTGGACAAAGGGATGATCCACGTCCTGGGCAGGATGGAGCAGGACTCTGCGAGATTTCATCTTGCTACTCAGAACAGCATGCATTTTTCAAACTTAGGAACTGTTTATTTCTGGGACTTTTCTATTTGATGTGTTTGGATCACAGTTGATGGGAGGGTAACTGAAGCCACAGCAAGAGAAACCACAGGTAAGGGGGGATTACTGCAATTTAATAAGAGAGAAGAGTCTTACCTTTCCGTGTCATTTATTTTTGGTTGCAGAACTTCAGATGGTGGCAAAGTTGTTGGCACCATAGAAGTCAGCGTCGTGAAGATGGGGGAGATTGAGGATGGGGAAGCCGACCACATCACAGCAGATGTGCAGGGACAAAAGGTAGGGTCTCAGCCAGCTCGTTGCACAAATTAAATTAGAATGATCATCTTCACCAGATGTCTGAATCACCAACACCTCTGTGGGGTATGAAATCTCATTCTTCAAGAGCTAAATGAGAAATCAGCTCTGCAATTTGTGCGCCAGAAGTGTGTTTCTTCCTCCGAAGCTGAGGCTGTTTGCATGGAACTGTGCAAATCCAGGTGCCACTCAGAAACATCTTCCTCTTCTCTGCCCCCGCTGTGTCCACGCTGCCTCTTCTCAGTTGACACTGTTACATTCTGCCATAATTGACCCTTCACACGATGCCCAGGAAATTCTTAGAGGACCATTACCACAAGTAACCATTTCCCTACTCTCAAAACCCTCTTGGTAAAATGATGCATCTTGAACTTAGATTTCATTCTGATGTGAAGGAGGCAGATTTAATAACAATGTGCCTTATGAAACTGCAGAGAGAGAAGCAGGGACTTGTACATAGCAGAGGGACAGCTCTGGAGGAGGGGCGATGCCTGCGGGAGGCCAAGGGCCTTCCTTGGATCCCAGGATAAAGGCTCCAGTGCCTCTCAAGATGTGGCCATGACTTTTACTTTCTACTCCCTCGTCTGCAGGAGATGAAAACTTGATATTGAGTATTAGCCCAAATTCCTGTCTCAGGAATGCAATTGCCTATTTTATGGAGACACAGGGAACAGGCTTCAAAACTGCTAATAAAGTAGTTCTTTTTAAGAACATGAGCTTGTATACATACTGTAATCCCTGTCTTTTCATAAATGAACATTTTTTTAATGACAAGGCTCATTCTGACTTAACTTTTAGCTTAGTGACTCTTATCTGGGAACATTTGAATTTTGTTGGTAAGGAAACATCTACATGGAAGATGGTGTTTATATAATACTTAATGAACCATTAGCTTTACAAAATATAAGACTTGTTTTCAAATATATATAGTTCTGGCCCCAGGATAGGCAAAGCCTGTTTCTCTCTGTTCCCCTGCTCTCCCCTGAAGCATATTCTGGATCATGAAAATATTCCAAGGAGGCCTGGAGTTTGAATCAGGTGGCTTCCAAATGTCAGGGCTGTGATGAAGTTTCATAGCAGATCCTCAGAGAATTTGTTTTAATTCATTCATTTGGTCCTCGTGTCCTTTGGAGTTCTATATAAGACCCATCTTAGCATCACGTGTATCAAGATTAAGGAGGGAGGATTTTGAGGATAAACAGGATGTGAGATCAGAAGTAGGCAGCTGATGGTGCCTGGACCTGCGGCCATGAGCCAGACTAGGAGCAGACACACGTCCCATTTCTAAGTTAGGCTACTTACCCTGCCTCCGACTCTATTACTAGCTGCCTCTCTGTTCTCAAAGTTCATCTATCCCTTTATTTCTTTATTCTATTCTGAGGTAGCGCAAATTGAATCATGATCTTTTCATAACTGGAGAACTGGATACTCAGGAATATGCCCCACCCAAGTCCTGCTTTATGTTTCTGACTTAGTCATGTGAACTTAAAAAGAGACCTTACCGAGCTGTTCTGGAAATAGGAGGTGGCGGTGTCAGCACAAACCATGTGCGAGTCACAGGTGACAGAAATGGTAAACACAGCGAGCTTTGTCGGCCGGCAGTACCTTCGTCCTGTCTGGTTCTCGGTAAACCTTGACCTTTTTGTTTAATAAAATGTTCTATAAACTCAGTTGGCAGTCCCGGGGAATATCGGTGATTGAACAGAGAACATGGAGTAAGCCCACTCTGCATGACATTTAGGAGAGTCGTGTGGAAATAACTTTATCTCAGTGATTTCAAAGCGTGGTCAGGATCATCTGGGGTGTTTGTGAGAAATACAAAAGCAAACACCCTTTTGCAGATTCACATATTCAAAATCAGTGAAATGTATTAACACAGTTTGTTACTGAAGGGGATTTAAGTCCCAAAGTTAGTGAATGACTGAAACATATGAAAGGACAAAGTCACTGAGAGAAAGGATATCCTGAAAATAACATCCCTTTCACTGGTTTGCATTTTTGGCAGAGAAAGAAAAGAAACTACAGTTAGACCCGTAGTCAGGTAGGTGCATGACACGTCATCTCTCATGTATACTGAAGCAGATAAAATAGGAATGCCCATATTAATCAGCTCATGATATGATAAGAAAATATCATAGACTGGGTAGCTTACACAGACATTGATTATCTCACAGTTCTCAGAATTAAAAAGTTCCAAATTAAAATGCCTGATAATTCATTTCTTAGCAATACCTCCCTTCCTGGCCTGCAGGCCTCTTGCTGTGTTCTCACCTGGTCTTTCCTTGGTGCAAGTATACAGACAGGAGAGTGAGCTCTGGTGTCTGCCTCTTCTTGCAGGACACCAGCCCCATCAGACTAGGGTCCCATCCCTATGACCTCTTTTAACCTTAAATGCCTCCATAAAGGTTCTGTCTCCAAATATGACTACATTGGGTGTTTGGGCTTCAACATATGAATTTCAAGGAACACAGTTCAGTTCCTAATAATACCTCTGATATGAAATACAGCATTTTAATTTTGAAGTTTACATAGCCTTCAGAGCATGAAGTAAAATATAAATTTAAAAAAATACAAACTTTCTCCTCTCACATACATTTACTTATTTGTTTCCTCAAATTATATTTTTATTATTATACGTATGTTTCTCATCCAGGGAAGATAGAACAGATGGTTATTCACCATATTACCCTGGTTCAAGCTTTTACTTGATATACTGTATGTATACATAGAACTAGAAGACAAGGTGTTAATATCACATAGCAATAGAAAAAAATTCACAAAAGAAATACTAACACTGTCCTTTTACAAAGCCAATATAGTAGGTGAAATATTGCATTAGGTATTCAAACTTAAAAAAAAATTGAAGTCATTTTTTACTCCTTTCTTTGTCTCATATTCACAGTCAATGTGTCAGTAAATCCTGTTGATTGTGACTTCTGAGTGAATCCAGAATCCAAGGACTCATGACCCTTTCCCTGTTACCAACATTTCCCTGTCACCTACATTTTTACAGGAGTCTCTTAAATGTACCCCTGGTTCCTTCCTTCCTCATCCCAGCACTGCCCCCTACCATAGTCTATTCTCAGCAGACTATGTAACACAGAACGTGACATTCCTCCTGGCTCCTTAACTCCCTGAAAGTATAAATCCAAAGCCTTCCAGTGACCTGACTTAAAGTCCTATATCTCAAAATTCATGAACATTGTGTGTGTGTGTGTGTGTATATGTTCATGAATTTATATATTATATATAGATATATAGATCTATATCAATATATCTCTATCTCTATATCTGTGTCTATGTCTATATCTATATCTATATTTATATTTATATCTATATCTATATATATATATACAGCTGTATGTCATCTGTATCATCTATTTCTCTCTCTTTATATATATAAAGAGAGAGAAAAATAGAAGAAAATTCATATATATATACATATACATACACATATACATACATACATATATATATATATATATATATATATGGAGAGAGAGAGAGAGAGAGAGAGAGAGAGAGAGAGAGAGAGAGAGAGAGAGAGAGAGAAAGGAAGCATGGAGGGAGATAGACTGGACAGTTAGGAAATAGCCCAAGCAATTCTGACACCCTCTTCTGGGGAGAGTGATCTGAGTCTGTGGAACCTTCTGAGGAATGCCAAGCACTCCAGAAGGGTGGCTGTTTCCCACAGAACTCATCACCAGAAGAAATTACTGGGTTTTTGTTTGTTTTCTTTATCTGCATTTATTTGTTCAGTTTGAAATATTTGCTCTGGAAATTTATTGTTTTCCTTCCCCTGGCCCTTTTTTTTTTTGGCTAGAAATAGAAGAAAATTCATTTGAAGAAACAAAACCTGGTGTTTGTGTGAAAACAGGTCTCTGGGGTCAGAAGAGTTTTGCTTCCTCTGTTACAAGTTACAGTTTCATGGGAAGCTGAAGGACAGTCCCACGCTTACTAATAGATTGTCTGGGATACTGCCTCTCACGGAAGGTTTGCTCACCAGGCACATGGCAATGTGCTCCTCCAGGCCTTTTCTCTTCTGTGGAGACAAGTGTAGGCTTTGTACCTTGCTTACGGCCTTGCCCATCTCTGGATTAATTTATTTGTATAGTGTCTTCATACTGTATGAGCAAGTGTTTGCACTATTTTTTGGAGACAAAACTCTACTTTTCCTCTATGTAATTAAATGCTACAACATGTATATTTTTTATTTAAGGTTGCCTTTACTTAAAATTCTAGAAAATAATTTGCTGTTTATTGATTCAAAATCATTTAACTGTCAGAAAAACAAAATCCTTCAGCTTGTCAAATCTAATTTACTGTACTAGAAACATTCGTGGACAGTCCTTTCCCAGTTTTTACTTTCTTTTCTTAGTGGTCATTAACTAGAACCAAAATGTACTCTGTGACCATCTAATACAATCATATTATACATAAATAATCACAAGTTAAGCAAGCTTCATAATAGAGATAATGCTGAAAATAGTGTTACAAAATATATTGTTCAGAATTTTTTAAAACTATGTGCACAGCCTCTTGTTCTGCAAACAAAATAATTTTCTTATTTTGATTACTTTCAACTGTTTTCTTTTCCTTTTTCTTGTATTCTTTCCTAGTGTGCACTTGTATGTGAATGTTCAGCACCAGAGAATGTGAGTGGAAAAGACAACTTACCTTTTCTGAATGCAGGTATGTACCTTCGTTATGGAAATGTGCATTAGTTTCATATTAGCATACCTTTTAATTTCCTGTGGAGTCAATGCTGAGCCTGGGCAGCATTCTCATAGAATTGTTTGTGAAAACTTAATCATTGAATCAGTAATTGTGAGCAGCTAGCAGATTGGGGTTGGGGGGGTGGGGGAGGAGGACTTGACAATTCCACAAGAATGATGCATAAATACTTTGGCTAAATGACAAATTCTTATTAAATGTTCAATTTTATGTTCCCTGAAACAAGACACACTGGAAAATAAAGTAAATATTAGAAATGTGAAGTTCTTATTTAGTTTGACTTTCTAATTATAGAACTCAAAATGAAGTTGCTAAAACAGTAGATATATGGATCTGGAGAGAAAAATTCATACACATATCTACACACTCTTGGGTGTCAATGTATGTACTGTTTTACTTATCCTATATAATAAAGAGGTAATATGCAAATTGACCCTTACACCATCACACAAGATGGCTGCCCTCATGTGGTCAAAGATGGCCACTATAAGATGGCCATCAGGAAGGGTAGTTGTGGATGATCAGGCCAGCAGGTGAGGGAAGTTGTGGGGGACCAGGCCTGCAGGGGAGGGCAATTAGGAGTGACCAGGCCAGCAGGAGAGGGCAGTTGGGAGTGACTAGGCTGGCAGGGGTGGACAGTTAGAGGCAATCTGATCAGCAGAGGAGGGTAGTTGGGGGCAATTGGGCTAGCACAGGAGCAGTTAGGCATAGATCTGGCTGGCAAGGGAGTGATTAGGGATGATCAGACTGGCAGGCAGTCAAGTTGTTGGAAGCCAACAGTCCCAGATTATGAGAGGGATGTCCCCTGAGAGATCCCAGATTGGAGAGGGTACAGGCTGGGCTGAGGGACATCCCCTCAGTGCACGAATTTTGTGCACTGGGCATCTAGTCCTATATAATGAAAGGATAATTTGCAAGTCGAATGAACCGGCTGAACTACTGGTCGCTATGATGCGCACTGACCACCAGAGGGAAGATGCTCAACATAGGAGCTGCCCCAGTTCACAAGCCCTCAATGTCCGATTCGGGCCTGCTGGCCAACCTCTAGGTCCCTTCCCCCAGCAGGCAGGCTCTGATCATCTGAAGGTGAATGGGGAACCGGGCATAGGTGGTGGCAGGGGCCGGGGCCGACTGCCAGAAGCCAGGGAAAATGGCCCTGATTGCAGGCCAGGCCTAGGGACCTTACCTGTGCCAGGCATCTAGTAGTAATATATTTGAATTTTAGCAAGGCACTAAACAATGTGCCAAATTATGATCTTGTGAATAAAATTGAGATATATAGTACAGTTAAAAGTGTGTGATAAAATGTATATATAAATTATGAAACTAATATTTGAATAATGGAAATTATGATACCACTAAAATAATAAATAATGACTATTGCAATGACAGGCACTGTGCTCAATGCTTTGTATGCCTCTCTCACCTTGTTTTCCTTTTAAAAAAAAAAATTATTGATTTTTTTACAGAGAGGAAGAGAGAGATAGAGAGCTAGAAATGTCAATGAGAGAGAAACATCGACCAGCTGCCTCTTGCACACCCACTACCAGGAATGTGCCCGCAACCAATGTACATGCCCTTGACTGGAATCGAACCTGGGACCTTTCAGTCTGCAGGCCAATGCTCTACCACTAAGCCAAACCAGCTTCGGCTCTCACCTTGTTTTCTGATGTCCGATGTGTGCTATGAAGTAGGTACTATCATTATCCCCATGTGTCAGATAAGGCAATTGGTCAAGTTCACTTACCTAGTAAATAGCAGGTTCAGAATTTAAATCCAGTTTCAATCCCAAGGCCTTTGCTCATAATTACTAGGCTATGCTATTACTAAAAAAAACAAACAAAAAAAAAAAACACACACACACAAAAAACACTAATTAATATGTTGGTATAACAACAGAATAAGCTTTAATGTTTTTCTAGCCTTGCCTTGATGTACATTTAAACAAAGACATATGTAGCATTATAATCAGCTAAATGAATGATACCGTACTTCAAAGGCTCACTAGTACATAACCCCAAACTATTAACAGTTGTTCCCTGAAGGAAGACACTAAAAATAGAGAATGGGAATGGGAAAAGGGAATGCAACCATTTGACTTTGTTTTTATGTACAGAGAACTCAAAATAAAATTTAACAATAACAACAAAATATTAACTACACTTATGTAGAATGAGGGGTTATACCAAAGAAGAGCAGCTGCTCCTCCACTTATAACCAAATGACATTCTTTAAAAATGTTTTTATTTTACTTAGGATTCAATATTAGAGGGATAGTCATTAAAAACTGAAGGGTCTACCCAACAGTTAGATCAGCCCTGAACCATAAAAGTACTTGACACATTAACTGTGTGGTTAAAATATCGAATGTATTCTCAAAGGGTCCTCCTCACATTTATTTTTCTACTTGAATGCTAAATAAACTGTTAGTTCTTTATAGTAATATATCCAGGTAATCTATTTCATTTACTAAATGTCAATTTTGAGAAACAAAACTGAGTATGGGAGCTGTTAAGTTCATTTTCAATACAGTTTGAATGAATCTGCACACCAAAATCATGTACACGATATGATGATTTTTAAATGACTTACTTATGCAAACCTTGTAATTTTTTATGCACACAAAAAGAAATGCCATTTTGAAATGCTGATTGATTTAATATAAATTTCAAAGAGAAAGAGAAAAATGTCTTAAGTAAAGGAATATATTATCTGAGGAAGCAGAGGCAGAGGGAATGCAGTGAAAAATAAATCAGCCCCTCCTAGCACTTGGGCAGTAAAATCTGTAAGGCATGAGTCTTGGAATTGCAATAACTCTTTCAAATTATGAGGGTACTATTCCTAATGTGTAAATTGCAATATAATAAAGACAGCTGCCATGGAATTGATGGGAGCAGCTGCATTCTGCAATTCAAATGTACTTCCTTCATGGGGTGAGAGATGATTGATTACTGCTCTTCTCTTTTCATGGAAGTGACAGTTTTGGTGGTGATGCTCCACTTAGTTCCATGACACTTTTCAATCTCCTTAGTCTAGTCAACCCATAGGAGCACTCAGAACCAAGGAAGTTTGCCACACACATTTTCTCTTAGCCTTCTTTTATTAAGCAGAGATAAGACTAAATGACAGTCAACTGTATACAAGCTAGATTTTTTGTGTTTTTTAAAAATATATATTTTTTTATTGTTAACAGTATTATAGATGTCTCCCATCCTCTCATCCTCTTCCACTCAGCCCCTTCCCCCACTTCCATCCCCCTTCAGGCCTTTACCATCCTATTGTCTCTGTCCATGGGCTATGCATATCTATGTATATAAAAGCCTAAGCAACTGGTCTACTGGTTGAGGCACACTGACCACCAGGGGGCAGACACTCGTCAGAGAAGCTGCCCCTTGGTGGTCAGTGCACTCCCACAGCAGGAGCACTGCTTAGCTGACTGATGGGTATCAGATGCCAGGCTCATGGCTGGCGAGTGCTGCTGTGGTGGCTGAGCCTCTGCCGATTGGGACTGACTGGGTGTGAGCGTGTGGAAGGTGCAGTGGGGCTGGGCTGAGCAGGAGCGGTGTGGTGCCAGGCCCAGGCTCCTGCTCCTCTCTGGCCACTTGCCACTTCAAGCACTAATTCATCCCCTGAGGGGTCTGGACTGTGAGAGGGCACAGGCCAGGCTCAGGGACCCCACCAGTGCACAAATCCATGCACTGGGCCTCTAGTAAGTATATAAGTTTTTTGGTTTAGCTCTTCTCATCCCCTCCCCCACCACACACACACTCACAAAAAAAAACAATCTGGCATCTATACTAATAATAGAGAAATATACAAATTACCCGTTACAGCATCACATCACTATCAGATCAGCAGGCTGCATTCCCGCCCTCTGCTCAGGCAGTTGAAAGGCTCGGGGTAGGATAGGATATGATAAGAGGGGATAAGAAAGAAGAGGGAGAGGAAGGCAGGCCCGCATACAGGCAGGCTTAGAGGAGAAACATAAATATAGAAAGAAAATAAGAAAAAGACACAGGAATGGAAAAGGGAAGGAGATGCAGGGCTGCACGCGGGAGGGGGTGGCGACCACAGGGAGTGCAGAGCAGGTGGGGAGCAGGTGCACCTGTCAGGGGGGGTAGGTTGGGAGCCATGCACAAGCACAAATGCGGGAGGAGGGCGATGGTCCCCGGCATGGGCCATTGGCATCACAGGTATGGGATGGAGTGGTGAATGGTCTGAGGCCTTCTGGATGGAGGAGCTCCTGCATTGAGGTGGCAGCAGCAGTGCCTGAGCCAGGCAGGCCTGAGCCATCCTCACTGGGCTGGGCATCCTGGGCAGGGGATGGGAGCAGGACGGAAGTGGGGAAGCTAGGGAAGGTGGGGGGCAGCGAACACCTGGCTGGGGCTGAGCCCTTGGCTGGGGGTTAACTCCCCCCCACTCCCCAACAGAAACTTTAAGAAGAGAGGGAGGGAGGGAAGTATTTATAAAGGAGTCAGTAGAGAGCAGGATTAAAGAAGGAAAGAGGATGTATGAGTGAAATGTAGGAGCTATAATGAAAATCAAGTATAGTTGTGTACTGGGGACAGATTTTAAAAAGTAGGAGTCAGAAAAGAAAAAAAAAGATAAATGATAGTGAATAATTAGGCAGTAGATAGATATTAAAACAGTGGAAGTAAGTAGAGAAGGATGTATGGGAAAGATAGGATGAGAGAGAAAGAGGGAGAAAAGAAAAGTTTTAACGAGGAGCCAGTAGAGCTTAAAAGGAGAATAGGAAGAAGGAAGAAATGGGGGAGGGAGCAAAGCAGGTATGAGGGAGGAAGTGAAGAAAAAAATTAAGGTGGGAAGGAAGGAAAAGGGGAGGGAGGAAAGGGATAAGGATAAAGGAAAGAAGGAATGTGGGGAGATAGGGAGGGTAGGAGAAAAATGGAAGAAGGATGATGGAATAGAAGTAGGAAATAGGAAGAAAGAAAAGTTTA